CGTAGGTTCAAACAAAGCATTCATACTAAGTTTGCGTTGGTTTCTGTAACGACGCTAAAACTCGTATCTTGATTGTTTTATTCGTGTTCTGTTGTAAATGCACTCAGATTGAGGTAAGTCTTTAATTCTTTTAATTCCAAGCTGATATAGGTACTTTCGATCAGTGCTTCTTTTAAGTGTTTACAGTTCATGTTCAATTTTCGTATGAATCGTAAGTTCTTCCAGTGTTACACGTATACAGTTGATTTCGATATACCAATGAAAAAGAATCACTGTTTTTACGGTTGCTAAACTAAAATCCATACTAAGGGGAATAGCTTCTAATGGATCTTTTACTCGTTAAGAGTCGTATTACACTATCTGGATCTAACAATACATCTACTAGAAAGTCTTGCTGTTGTTGCCGTCGATGTCTTTTTTTGTTTTTGGAAATACTCTGGATGTTTGCCCACTTCTGAAGATGCTCGAGTTCAATCTGTTAGTAATCTGTCATACCTGGAAACGTTTTAGACCCATTTTAAGACAAAAAATATCGTTAATAGCTTTTCTCCTATATTTTCTTTCTGGTACACAACGTGTGCGATATTCTATTGCTTTCAGATTTGCATAAAAAGCTGTGCCAAAGCACCCGTTTCGTTCACCCAATTGAACGAGACACCAATACGTCACGCATGCTTTAAAACCACCACCAAATGGAGTATTGTAAGATGACCTCGGAGAGATATGATAGATCCTTATACTGATTTAACAAAGAGGAAACTGTTGGAGCACGCACTTGCTTGTAGGCTTAAACAATTGAAGTGTGAACAACGTTTTCGAAAATCTATAAATGTGTGTCACTGAGGCATGCGCACTATTAACAGGGTGCCATGATCGGGAAAACTGGTTTATCTCCGCCTCCCCTCCAAGACAAAGCGAGGTAGAAACCGTGGATATGATCACGAAAAGATTTCCCCTGCACCTTAAAAAGCTTTTCAGTGTATGTTTCTCTCATTGACTGGACTCACTGCTGGACGACCAACCCGACTGGTTACAGGTGATTGACGGCTGCCTGTATAATAGACTGACCCAGTACCGACTGATAATCAAGGCCAGGGAGGGGGTACTCAACAAAGTTTTATACGGGGAAGCTCCGCCCGAGGTCCAACTCTTACCCTTTTATATACCATTTTGGACAGAAAAGTTATCCTTTTCGTATACCTTTAATATGATCAAATAGTACCCCTTTCACACCTAGTTAGAACTTTGCATCTCTTTTAACCGCTGTGAATGCAGTGTCTTTCAAGTATTGAGTAATTAAATGACAAAACCAGAACGTCTTCTCAACTTTTCCAGAGTCATAGTGCATCTGTCAGCTTGGACTGTTTATAGACCGAAATGACAGATTTCCCTGCCCTTTCATATATCTGAAATAAGCACCAAAACGGTACCCCTTTTGAACGGAGCTTCCCCGGATAGGCCATTGTAGGGAGTACCCTCCCCGGGGATCAAGGTCTGGATGGCCGACAAATATTTTCTATTTAGGGGTACAAAAATACTCAGTAAGCCGGTCATGCTTGTTGATTTACTGACTGACTGACTGACGGACGGACAGACGGACGGACTCTGGCTGATCATTTGATTTTATCCGACTGCCTATTGATGGATTTGTAACGTAAAAAGATCAGGAGGAACTTTGACTAGANTTGCATCTCTTTTAACCGCTGTGAATGCAGTGTCTTTCAAGTATTGAGTAATTAAATGACAAAACCAGAACGTCTTCTCAACTTTTCCAGAGTCATAGTGCATCTGTCAGCTTGGACTGTTTATAGACCGAAATGACAGATTTCCCTGCCCTTTCATATATCTGAAATAAGCACCAAAACGGTACCCCTTTTGAACGGAGCTTCCCCGGATAGGCCATTGTAGGGAGTACCCTCCCCGGGGATCAAGGTCTGGATGGCCGACAAATATTTTCTATTTAGGGGTACAAAAATACTCAGTAAGCCGGTCATGCTTGTTGATTTACTGACTGACTGACTGACGGACGGACAGACGGACGGACTCTGGCTGATCATTTGATTTTATCCGACTGCCTATTGATGGATTTGTAACGTAAAAAGATCAGGAGGAACTTTGACTAGAGCGATGAACTTCGAACATACTACTTGATCAGTTGCTGATACAAAAAAACTTAATTTCCCTTTGTTTATTAGGTCATCAGAGTCTAACATCATGAGGTTCTTGGCGTTATTCATTGTGGTGATGTGTAGCTTCCACTTAGGTATGTATGGATGCATTAAAACTAATGACTGCGAAAGATACTTTGATCTTTTTTCATCCAAACCGTCACATTTTTACCACTTTTACACCGGTTGTGATAAAGGTCTTCAGTATGAGCTGATCTGAGTTGGTGATGATTGTTGTACTGATTTAAATGGGCTACTGGGTGCTACATGGGTTCGTACGGAGGAGGAGGGGGGTGCACTACTTGATGGCAGTTTTCTCAGTAGTTATGGGCTTATGGCTCGGGGTCGCTAGGCTACTGCTCCAAGCATCTCAATTGTCTAGTTAGACAGAGAACTTTAGTCCATATAAGGAAAAAGCCTTAATTTTAACAACCGTTTCGTCAGAAAAGCCCAAGAACTTCATACAGGTTGCCCCAAATACGTGGCGTTGATAACTCGTAACTTTAGCCAATTTCTTTCTTAATTTTTTAAAGACAGTTTTAACTAGCCGCGGGAAATTTAAAGTTAACTCCGATTTAGCCCTGTGTAAACAGAAAAACCGTAAAACAAATGCATATCAGTTTGTGTTCTCGTCGTCTTGTTGATAGTAAATTATGTAGTCATCTCACCTTAAGAAGGAGACTAAGCGTCCGTCTTAGATAGGTGTGTCCCCGCTCAACAGAGATCAGAGTCAAAGAAAATGAGAGATCAGTTCACATAAACTGCAGCGCGGACCAATCAGTCTAGGAGTCTTTCTTCAACGAGGAGTTGCTTTCTTATAGCTTATGTCGCACCGTAATTTATAGGGAGTTATTATAACTCCAAAACTGGAGTAAAAATTTTAGGTACAGGATGACCCCTTTTTGGGGGTTACTTTAACTCCTAATTTAACTCCGAATTTGTGGTCATTTTTACTCCTGAAAAAGAGTTTTTTTTTCTCCCAGTCTGGAGTTAAAATAATTCCGAAATGGGGTTATTTTTACTCCTTACAAGTGTTGTTTTTTACTCTTTTTGGAGTTTATTTTAACTCTGAAAGTGGAGTACAAATTTTAGGTACAGGATAACTCCTTTTTAGGGGTTATTTTAACTCCTCAATATCTGGGGTCACTTTTACTCCTGAAAAATAGTTCTTTAAACTCCTTTTTGGAGTTCAAAAAACTCCACAAAAAATAACTCCACTGTAAGGAGTCAAGTTAGCCCCACAAGAGGAGTTATTATAACTCCTTGAAAATTACTGTGCGTACGAAAGGATGATGACTGTAATTTGCTTTGATCTTTATCACAGAGTGTTCCACGAAAGATCTTCCTAGTGTTTACGTCCGGGTGTCATGGAAAATGGTATGGCGAAGGTTCTGCCACTTTGTTCCGTTCTTTGCCGAAAAACTTTCGGAAAAACTTTATGACGCAAAGACAAACGTGGTCAAAGCCAGCAGAATTCGCTTCATAAATGCTACGGAACTGTGCAAGGGAAAAGGCAACAATGCTGAGGCGATTTTGGTTTTCTTCGTCTCGAAAAGTGAAAATGACCTTGGTACTGGAGATGTTGACAGAAATATCACGATCCTTGCTTATATTAAAATGCGTGATTACTGGAAAAACAAAAAGATGGCTCTTTTGGATCCAGTTTTTATCGGACAGGTAACGTCAAATTTGCTTGCAATCACACTTTCAGCAGCCCATACGGTCTCATCTTTAGAACTGCCTTGTAAGGAATCGCAAAAAAAAAGAGAAAAGAAAAAAAATCGTCCTAAGGAAGCACTATTCGGCTGCATTCACACTGACTTTGGTTATTCCACATATCATTTCGACAGGTAAAAAGTGTTGAGATCTTGGGAAAAGACAAGCCAGACATCTCAGAGGATTTTTCAGAATCAACAAGAATAGGAATTGGCATAACCGTCGCTCTGATAGTCATCTTCTTAATCGCGGCTATCGCATTATGTCTGGTAAGAATCCCTCTAATGGACAAAGTTTAGCAATGTTCACTTATTTCAGTTATCGCAAACAAATTTCTGCGCAAAGAACTGAATATTATTAGACCAACAACAATTCGCCTGATGAAAGGGTATCCGGGTTCTGCAATCCGGGAAATTTTTGCTGAATTATGGAATCCGAAATCTAACGAATTTTTGCTGTGGCATCCGGAATCCTGGACTTTGAAATCCTGAGTCCCACTAACGACTAGAATCCGGAATCCAAATTCCATTGATAAATCATCCTAAATCCAGATTCCACTGCGTGGAATCTAGCATCCAAGAAAAAATACGTAAAACCGGTGTTTCTTTTCCGATGTAGCAGAAGACCAGCCTTAACTACATTGAAGAAAGGCATAACGAGCCTTAGAGTTTCTTGAGGCTTCATTAGTTGGGTAGGCATATTTTTAGGGTGAGAGATTGCTCACTAATAACTAAAGATGCGAAGGGAAATTGGAGCGAGTAGAAAGAAGGTGACATCAGTAAAGAGGAGAAGTCGTTACGTCACGTTGCCATAGTAGCAAAGTTTCTGGATGACACTGTCAAACCGAAAACGGCTCTTAAAAGTACATTCGCACTGTTTCAAAGTTCATTGATCTTATTCAATTTCATTTAATGTGTCAAATAGTGGCGAAATTTGTATAGGTAATAGCATGATTTGTAGTGATATTTGGCATAAATACCACGAGTGATATTTGTTATACGTAATTTCACGAGCCGTTAGGCGAGTGAAATTTGAGACAATTTTGAAATATCACAAGTGGTAATTATGCCAAATATCACGTACAAATCATGCTATTATTTGTTTATACTACTACCCGCAAAAGGTTTGTAATTTTCACATGTAGGTATTTCAAATTAAGCTGAAATACCACTGCTCTAAGCCAATCAAATTGCAGAAATTTCTCATGTAGTAGTATAAGGGGTTGAATCCGAAAGGACTGTATCTAAGTTCAGAAAAAGAATAAGAACATTTTGTGTTGTGTTCACGTACTCCATAAAGTGGGCGCGTGAAATAAGAACGTTTCATATCGCTGTCATTCAGCGACGCCGGGCTAAGAAATGTACAAAATAGCGTGATGCTCGTGCGAGGTTGTTGTTTTGCCAAATTAAGCCTATTGCTTTCTTCGCCGTTCTCGTTGCCGTCGCCGTCGTTGTAGCGCTAGCTTCCTCTTGTTGTGATCCAAAAATTTTGCTACCATGGTAACGTAACGTCACTCTTCTCCCTTGTAGGGTTGGCATGAGGCGAAAGAAGTTTCATTCTTAACCTTGTTCTCAGGTTCTATTAAGAAGAGACACTCCTGGGAGCGAGGTAGCCCCATTCCTGGCCTCATGTGACTCGTGCACTCACATAGCCCCATTTAACTAACTTCTGTAGCTATCATACAATTGCATCAATCTTACTGCGCAAAATCGACAATTTCAGAGGCTTAAACTAAAGAGCTCCAAGAGACCTCTCCAAGATGCTACTACGGCAATAAGCGTCCCACTTCATGTTATCCACTCTGAATCATCTACCTCACCCCAAAAAACGGAAGCGCCACCGGTTTATGAATTCAGAGGACGCGCACGGGACGAGAGGGACGGGAGATCAAGCAATAGTAGTTATACTGTCCGTACTTCCCATGGTAATACTGCAGTCGACGATGAGTACCAGAGAAGGGAGAAAAGGTATGACGGTCATAGTGTCCGTAACCATAGCAACACAACATTCGAACAAGAGCATGGAGTAGGCCAAGAAAGCTTCAACGGTTATCCTGCTGGCAGTAATGGTAGCGTGGTTCTCGACTACGAAGATTTTGTAAGTGAAGTCATCTTATTATCAGCTTTATTAAACCAGGCTACTGCATGGTCGTTCGCTTCAGGCACTCTCTCCTCCGCAGAGGACTCTTTGTGTTGTGGGGAGGCTGGGGAGAAAGAAAAAGAGAGGGCGCGGGGCACGATGGGAAGGGGGAAGAGAGGCTCCCGCCGTTTCCCTCTTCCCATCGTCCCCCGCGCGCTTTCTAGTTTTTCGATTATTGATATTTTGATGGGGATACCCAGCGGAAGCCTCTGCGGAGGAGAGAGCTTCAGGCATGCAGTTTCAACAACTACGGGTGATAGTGCTAAGCTGTTTAAGTGTTGTATTTTACAACTGCTTTGGAAATGCAACTCGACTTGGAATATGTAGCTCGTACGTTTCTTTGGTCAGAGCACTTATAGTGTTAGTCATTTGCGTTCAATACTAATATTGTTTTTAATACAGTCTTTAATTTATTAGCTTGTCTGTGAAAGTTTAAGTGGCAGGGGAGAGGTGGCTTAAATTGAGGAAGGAGTCGTTAACAGATTACTCTATCATCTAAGCGGGGCTAAATTGAAGGCGTGGATGTGAGGGGGCATTTGACCTAGTCATACAGAAGAACTATTCAACTGAAAAAGGCCAAGTGACGGGTGTGAAGAAAAACTGCCGACCAATCCCTGCTAAAAAAAAAAACAGAGACTGGTTGGTCCATGGACCGACTGGAGCCAGAGAAAATTTCACTCCTTGATTTCCCTTAAGACCAACGGGACTGCAGATTGTACACTCAGTTTACTCTCAAAGGTTCAGTTATCTTACGCGCTGGTGATAGAACATACTGTAATATCAGATGTGTTCTTTATTTCTTATTTCCAGGGATCACCCATGCTGTAGAGGAGGATTTTGATCAGTTAAGTGACGATGCCCGCGGGTTTTTTAAAAGTCTAACAAAGCCGAAATGCCGAACAGCCATACCGGCATACCTTAACAGAACAGCTGCCCTTATGCATGGTATGGAAGCAGACAGCCTCATGGTGGAAAAAGACATTACTAATATAGATTAAAATGACCCTATCTGGTTTACAGATACTATCTTAAAATATATATGCCATTTGCTTTGGCCTCGTTGCGCAAAACTTGCGTTTTCTTGTTCAGTTGCAGCTCAAAACTATGATGAAGGGAGTCAACCAGGAGAAGGGGCAGCAATCTTCCTTTTTTGTTTGTTTGTCAGTGTTTAATTGCTTTCTTTTCTAAAATTGCATAGATCACAACAAAAATCGAAGAACCTCTACTCACAGGGTTAAAAGATCCTTAGCTCGGCTTCGACCAGGCTTACTTGTGCGAGTTATAGGGGAATTTTTTTGGCGTCGGAACTGCCATCCAGCGAGGGGAAAAAGACCTTAAATGGGAGTTGGTTATTATTGAAGTGGATGATAATTTTTTAACTTTTTTTTCATTCTAAGGGTGGTAGCAAAACAAAGCGCTCTTGGATTAAAAATATTCACTGGATTTATAAATCCT